TAAACACTTTTTCTATATTTTCTTTTTTAAGGGACTAAAAAACTGGAAAAAAGGTTGTATTTAGAAATGGCACCACAAATGCCACAAGTTCTCTTCTCCTTTTTCCTCTGTGGTTCCTGAATTGTCTTATTCCTCTATGTTGGATGGCGCTACCGACCTCTTTTGTCTCTTATGTTTTATCTCATCACTGGTATCAAGGCAGTGTTCATATGATATAGAGAAGAACTATGGTTAAGTAATTTACCGATCAAATAAGAAAGCTCACTGGTGATGGATGTAACAGCGCCCGCGCGTGGGCCTCACGCTAACAGTTCGGACTCTCGATTTGTGTCACAGTTCTAATCTGAACCAAAGAGTCCAAATCTGGCAAATCATTTGAGAAACAGATTTTTGAAAAAGTACGTGCCAAACATGGACTGCTTTGCCAGATACAGAGTCGCCACCTAAATATTTTTAAAATGGGGAAATTTAGGAAACCCTGACTCGGTGCCGAAGGCCACATCGTTGTCATCACCGGAGTTGTCTCGGCTCGGAGCCTTGGTACGATCGGGGAAGGTCAGCTATGAAGCACCCCTTTCGCCTGGTCCGAAGACCGGCCTCTACTAACGTATATCCGTCGTTTTGAAAACTTTATGTGTTCTTTAAACCAATTATTAGCCTAGAATTACTATGTTATCGCGCGCAGCACAAAAGTATAGACTAGATTGTCTAATTTGGAAGTAAGCATTGCATATCCGTTTGTTTGGAAAATGTTTTGATTTTGCTACTCGCAAGTAGGCTAAAACACGGATTTCAATGAGTTCTTCCAACTCAAACAATCCAACCTTCACCCACAGGCATCGAAGCAGTTTATAACACATAAGCATCTAGCCAACATTGTTAAGCATGTTGTCATGGCAACATTCACACTTATGCGATTATGCTAAAGTGGAAATACTTACATCGTACTCCGTGCCAAAACAAAGAACTCGTTTAGCAAACATGCATGATCCAAGTCCATGTTAAGTGCCTAATGCATCGCATACAAATTGCTAGAATAGGCTCGGCTATCCTAAACATGGCATGTGAGAATGCACAACTATCACATATTCAGTTTAGAATTTGAAGCACAAATGCAGTTAGCGTGATGTACCGAGCCTAATACATGTAGCACAAATGCATGAATGCACGCATGCATAGCATAAGGTATGCTAAATTAAACGTGCCCTAATTCTACCATCATAAGCAGGTAAATAAAAGGAAGAAAGACGTGAGGTTGGAAGACATTACACACACTCACGCACACTTATTACAGATTCGCCCTCACTCGGAGGGACCAAAATAAATATTACAGATTAATTAACTACGCAAGCTAATTAATATTACAAATTAATTTAATTAACGAATTAAATAAATTAATTAAAACAGAAAAAAAAATGCCTCGCGGAACAGCGCGCCGCCACTGCATAGGCTGCCTCTGTTTTCCTTCCTTCACTCCTCTGGAGGCTGTCAAAACCTCAGGACTGCATCCCTGGACATGGGAGTACCACCGGCTGAGTGGAATTACACCGGCAGTGGTTGTGGCCATCGGCACAAAATGAAGCTGTCGGCAAAGAAATTGTTGGCCGGCCGGCACCTTACACTGCCGGTCGGCAGAATGTTCCTGCAGAATCTGCAAATGACAGCAACAGAGGGCAAGGCAAAGCATGACACAGCACAATTAGGCATATATGGCACCAACCATGTCCCTATCATTGTAATGACTCAAAGGGTATGTGCCTCGAATTCTCGGACCACCAATCACGCATTTCCATGCATGATGCCCAAAGAATCAAGTATGCAACTTTATTTCAAATGCATGCAAACCAAATCAAACCAAAGTCCTAATCCCTATCACCAACAAGGGCAAGGGAATGCATGCAAAAAATGCCCATGAAACCTAAGCATACAAGCTAAGGATGCAACATGGCATGGCAACTAACCTATGCAAGCGTACAAGCATACATATGGGAATGCAAATGGGTGCAAAGATGGACTTAAACATGAATTAGCAACTCTAAATAGGCCTAAAACAGTAGCCAAAATGCTATAATGAAGGACCAAATATACATGCACACATGCACCTAATTGAAGGCCAACACTTAAGCACAAATTGAACAACCCTCAAACACATTTGAAAGGGAGAATCATGGCTAATTAACATTGCAACATAAGCATTGAAATCATGCTAAAATATGGTGCCAAACCAAGCAATATATCAAGCCAAATATGCAACAAATAGCCCAAGTGTTGAAAGCAAACCAATGGGGCATTAACTACACTTAGTAAGACCAAACAATGGACATGAGCTTATCAACCAAAAACAGAGTCTTGGGGCATCAATACAAGGCCTAAGGACCACTTAGATGGCATCTAAATGACCCAAAAAACAAAAAGGCATGCATAAACACCAAAACATGGAGCATTGCTACACAAGTTTTCAAAGCATCAAAGAGGCATGCAAGGCAATCAAGCAGCATGAAAAATGGGACTGAAATAGCATGTAGGGTGGCCCCAAATCACCAAAAACAATGCAAAGTTGCCATGCTATACATTGCATATGCTCAAGGCCAACAAGCCCAATACAAAGGAGCTATTATGATTGCATGCCAAATTCGACCCAAGCAACCTAGTACAGACCTAGAATCATGGCAAATAAAAGGCACATGATCTTCACAGACTAAGCCTTAAACATGCTCCCACAAAGGCTAACAACCTAAGCACATTTAAGGCATAAAACAATGCTTATTACATAGCAACATTGCTAAGCATGCATGGAATACCAAAACCAACTTTAAAATCATGTTATATTATGATATATAGCATGAAAAACAACCTAAACTGGCTCAACACACCACTCAAGGCATAAGCTCTCTTCAAGAGGCCAAAATATGGCCCTTTTCAAGGACAACAAGGAGAGCGGGTGGCCCTTCCTTCTTTCGGACTTCAAGGCATCATCTTTCACCACTGAAAAATCCCTCAAGATAGGGATTCAGTGGTGAAGAGACCCCAACACCAAAATCCGGAAGCTTAGCACAAAATGGGCCCAAATAAGTCCTTTCAAGCCTAAGGGGGGGTCAACCACCCTCAAACAACAAAACACTTTATAAACAATTAAAGGAGTGGCTTAAAACAGAACTTTTTTGTTATACAATAAGCAACAAAATTAGCTCTAAGATAGGAGAAATCAATGCAAAATTGGGAAAAAGGTGTAAGTTTCTTTACCCTTTTATGATTCCTTCACAAATAGTTGCTCCAATGGCCTTCCTTGGCTTGAATCCAACACCAAAACTTCAAAGTCAGTCCTTTAGAACCTCAGTTCCAAGAGGAAGGTGAAACACTATGTGTTTGTGTGCAATAGTATGGACTAAACACACTAAAACACACACAAGAGGGAAAAAGAGAGAGATAAGGTGTAACAAACCCTAACCCTAGAACTCAAACCCTAACAATGGCTGTCTAAGCTCTCCAAAATATCTAAACTCTCTAACCTCTCAAGCCAAGAGAGCCTTCTCTCTCTATATGGCACTTCTTGTCTTGTAAAGCTTACAAGACAAGCTTCATAAGAGGGAGATCCCTCCATACACGTGTATGGAGGGGAGCAAAAGTAAGACAGCTGTCTTAAAATATCTGCAAAAGCAGATGAACAGCAATCGGCCAGCCAAAAATGCCATCTTGGCCCAAAAGAGTGCCGGCCGGCACTAAAAAGTGCTGACCGGCAACAAATAGTGCCGGCCGGCAATATACATTGCCGGTGGCACCAAACACCAGCCGGTGGCCTCTAGCCACTGCCGGTGGTGGGTGGGGATGGTCTACAAGCCCTACCCTGCCTCTCAAAGGCAAAACACAAGTGTTTGGTGTGAAACCAGACACTAAACGGTCGAGTTCGGAGATCCTAAGGCAAGGCGCGCGAGCCGAGACCTCCGGGAATTCAGAACAAACACAAACATGGATAATCACCGAGTGTTCAAACGGTGATGTCCAAGTCTTGAGGACGGTCAAAAATGGGGTGTTTACAATGGACAATAATGAACTTTCTTGCCAGCAAGAAAACACCTTATAAGTAAGGCCCAGGACCTTGTTGTCTATTTCTTTTTGTTTAATAGTAAACATAAGATATGTGAACTTCTAGGAAAAGGGAAAGAAGTGTGGAAGACAGTTCTTCTTTTTCTTCTTCTTCTTCTTTGCACTTGTAAGATACTTGAATAACAGAGTTTTTACAAAAAATAAAGTTCCTAAAGATATTGTCGTTGTAAATATTATTAACATGATCAGGTTTAGAGTTCTATCTCTCAAAAACTTGAAGAGAAATTCAAAGGATGAGTGGTTTTTGTCCAAATGGATACTTCCAGCCTCTATCCTTAAAGAGGCTTTGACTTTATGAGTTGGCTGTGTTTTGTAACCTTGTTGCAGGTGGTTTTTTCCCATCCATGTGTGTTGGTGTATAGCTGTTATTGAATTAAAAAATGTGGAAAATAGAAGTTTTGAGGGTTGAGTGTTGTGAGATTCCATATTCTGGGTTGAGTGGCTGTAAGCTCAAAATGAGTTTTGTATATACTGTGTTTTTCCTAATTGTTTGCTATGGAGGTTACAAAGTTGGCCTTCGTTTAGGGCAAGAGAGTTGAGTTTTATGAGCACATACTTAGGGTGTGGAGTAGGCTATAAGTTATGGGTTGAAAGAAGGTAAGTTATAAATTGTGTCCTAACGTTGTTGGTTTTGCAGGTTGTCCATTGCTGGTGCTATTGTTAGGGAATTCTTTGTTTTGTGAGCCTAGTGTCTGTGAGGATAATTTTTTTGTTTTTTGTGTTCACCATTATTTATCTTCTTCCTGCTGAGAGTTTGAGTTTGTGGGTCGAGTGATATAAGTATATACTAAGTGTGGTTGCTACTAGTTCATTTTATCTTGCTTACTGTGTTTAGATATTCCAAGTTATACAGATCGTTTGTCTGGGTATGATCTAGGTAGCCTAGTCAATTTTCAGCAAATTCTTCTTGGTTTTATCAGAGAGTGATGGTGCTGTATGGGAGCCAGGGTGTAACTCTGCGCCAGTTCCAGTTCTTTGTGCTTTGGGTCAAACTGTTGTTCTTTTTATTTTCTTTCCTCTTCTCAGTGCTTTGTGATTTTGGAAATTTTCTTTTTATTTCAGTTGTGTATCAGTGTTATTGTCCCTTCTCTTGCAGGCTGTGCAGGAGATCTGTTCCTTGGGTAGTTGTCGGTTATGGTGTCCCTATGAAGCTTGTTGTTCTGCTGTAACCAGATAGTGATATATGTTATGATCTTGAAGGTCATGGTACAGAGTTATCGCGGCTAGTCATACATATGGAGGCTTTTTAGTTTGTCTACAAGTCTTTGTGTTACCACTGCTTATTGGTTGTGACAGTGTTGTCAAAGGCGCGCCTAGGCGCAAGGCGAATCGAGGCTCAGCAGCTGCGCCTGTACAGGTACCAGGCGAGCCGAATTGAACCAGGCGCTCGCCTTAGACGCGACTTGATCAAGGCGAGAGAGGCGCAAGGCGATCGCCTAGGCGCGACTCAGTGTTCAAGTCGTAGATCTGATCTAACGGCTCAGATAACCTTTCGAATGGATCGTAATCACAGAGGATTACGACCCATGTACCATATGAGACAAATAGGAACCCTAATCGATCGATTACGAACCTGTGTTCCAAAAAAGAAGTCTGCGACTCGACTTCGATCGACTTCTCGCAGGTTCGACTTCGCAGGTTCTCGATCAACTTCGCAGGCTCGAGTTCAACTTCGATCGACTTCGATCGGCTTCGCAGATCGACTCTCTCCCCTTCTCCTTCTTCTTCGATCGTCTTCGCAGGTTCTGTTTTTTTTTTTTTCTTTTCTTTTTTTTTACCTTCGTTGAAGAAGGTGATCTGTTTTTATTTTTTATTTTTTATTTTTTTTTTCTTTTCTTTTCTTTTGATTATGATAAATAAATAAATAAATTCATAAATAACTTAATTAATTGATAAATAAATTCATAAATAACTTAATTAATTGATTATGATAAATTAATTAATTCATAAATAAATAAATAAATTGATTATGATAAATAAATAAATAATTTTTTTTTTCAATTATTTGACTTTCATAACCCTGATTATTACATAAACAAATAAATTAATTAATTAATTCATACATACATACATACATAAATAAAAAAAAATAGATATATTACATTTATTATGATTATATTATACTGAAATTGATTCATCATTATACTAAAATTAATTAATTCACCATTAATTAAAAAAATTGAAAATTGATTCATAACATTAATTAATTCATACATACATACATAAATAAAAAAATAGATATATTACATTTATTATGATTATATTATACTGAAATTGATTCATCATTATACTGAAATTAATTAATTCACCATTAATTAAAAAAATTGAAAATTGATTCATAACATTAATTAATTCATACATTACATACATTAAATTACATACATTATACATTAATAGAAAATTGAATGTAACATAATTCACCATTAATTAAAAAAATTAAAAATTGATTCATAACATTAATTAATTCATACATTACATACATTAAATTACATACATTATACATTAATAGAAAATTGAATGTAACATAATTCACCATTAATTAAAAAAATTAAAAATTGATTCATAACATTAATTAATTCATACATTACATACATTAAATTACATACATTATATTATACATTAATAGAAAATTGAATGTAACATAATTCACCATTAATTAAAAAAATTAAAAATTGATTCATAACATTAATTAATTCATACATTACATACATTAAATTACATACATTATATTATACATTAATAGAAAATTGAATGTAACATAATTCACCATTAATTAAAAAAATTAAAAATTGATTCATAACATTAATTAATTCATACATTACATACATTAAATTACATACATTATATTATACATTAATAGAAAATTGAATGTAACATAATTCACCATTAATTAAAAAAATTAAAAATTGATTCATAACATTAATTAATTCATACATTACATACATTAAATTACATACATTATATTATACATTAATAGAAAATTGAATGTAACATAATTCACCATTAATTAAAAAAATTAAAAATTGATTCATAACATTAATTAATTCATACATTACATACATTAAATTACATACATTATATTATACATTAATAGAAAATTGAATGTAACATAATTCACCATTAATTAAAAAAATTAAAAATTGATTCATAACATTAATTAATTCATACATTACATACATTAAATTACATACATTATATTATACATTAATAGAAAATTGAATGTAACATAATTCACCATTAATTAAAAAAATTAAAAATTGATTCATAACATTAATTAATTCATACATTACATACATTAAATTACATACATTATATTATACATTAATAGAAAATTGAATGTAACATAATTCACCATTAATTAAAAAAATTAAAAATTGATTCATAACATTAATTAATTCATACATTACATACATTAAATTACATACATTATATTATACATTAATAGAAAATTGAATGTAACATAATTCACCATTAATTAAAAAAATTAAAAATTGATTCATAACATTAATTAATTCATACATTACATACATTAAATTACATACATTATATTATACATTAATAGAAAATTGAATGTAACATAATTCACCATTAATTAAAAAAATTAAAAATTGATTCATAACATTAATTAATTCATACATTACATACATTAAATTACATACATTATATTATACATTAATAGAAAATTGAATGTAACATAATTCACCATTAATTAAAAAAATTAAAAATTGATTCATAACATTAATTAATTCATACATTACATACATTAAATTACATACATTATATTATACATTAATAGAAAATTGAATGTAACATAATTCACCATTAATTAAAAAAATTAAAAATTGATTCATAACATTAATTAATTCATACATTACATACATTAAATTACATACATTATATTATACATTAATAGAAAATTGAATGTAACATAATTCACCATTAATTAAAAAAATTAAAAATTGATTCATAACATTAATTAATTCATACATTACATACATTAAATTACATACATTATATTATACATTAATAGAAAATTGAATGTAACATAATTCACCATTAATTAAAAAAATTAAAAATTGATTCATAACATTAATTAATTCATACATTACATACATTAAATTACATACATTATATTATACATTAATAGAAAATTGAATGTAACATAATTCACCATTAATTAAAAAAATTAAAAATTGATTCATAACATTAATTAATTCATACATTACATACATTAAATTACATACATTATATTATACATTAATAGAAAATTGAATGTAACATAATTCACCATTAATTAAAAAAATTAAAAATTGATTCATAACATTAATTAATTCATACATTACATACATTAAATTACATACATTATATTATACATTAATAGAAAATTGAATGTAACATAATTCACCATTAATTAAAAAAATTAAAAATTGATTCATAACATTAATTAATTCATACATTACATACATTAAATTACATACATTATATTATACATTAATAGAAAATTGAATGTAACATAATTCACCATTAATTAAAAAAATTAAAAATTGATTCATAACATTAATTAATTCATACATTACATACATTAAATTACATACATTATATTATACATTAATAGAAAATTGAATGTAACATAATTCACCATTAATTAAAAAAATTAAAAATTGATTCATAACATTAATTAATTCATACATTACATACATTAAATTACATACATTATATTATACATTAATAGAAAATTGAATGTAACATAATTCACCATTAATTAAAAAAATTAAAAATTGATTCATAACATTAATTAATTCATACATTACATACATTAAATTACATACATTATATTATACATTAATAGAAAATTGAATGTAACATAATTCACCATTAATTAAAAAAATTAAAAATTGATTCATAACATTAATTAATTCATACATTACATACATTAAATTACATACATTATATTATACATTAATAGAAAATTGAATGTAACATAATTCACCATTAATTAAAAAAATTAAAAATTGATTCATAACATTAATTAATTCATACATTACATACATTAAATTACATACATTATATTATACATTAATAGAAAATTGAATGTAACATAATTCACCATTAATTAAAAAAATTAAAAATCTTTCTTTTGATATTGATGTTTTTAAGTGTTAAGACATATATTAGTATTTGTTGGATATTTATGTTTTAGATGTTTAGTGTTTATGTTTTTATTTTATTGAATGTGGATTATTTGATCTTTAAAAATTGAAATGTTATGTAATATGCACTTTCATGGCTTTGAGAATTATTCTATATTTTGTCTTGAATCTTGATTACTTTTTATTTTTTTAAAAATTGTCTTAGTACTATGAATGATTAGTCTATATTAATTTTTCTATTTTTTACGAATACTGTGCGCCTTACTTCAATAAAGCCCGCGCCTCGCCTTGCGCCTTGCGCCTAGGCTCCAAGAGACCTTCGGCACCTTAGTGCGCCTTGAGCCTTTAAAAACACTGGGTTGTGATGAAGTAATGCCTTGGCTCAGTTGTTTGGACTTAGTGGGTTTTGCTTTCCTGGTTTTCTCTGTTTGCCGATATGGGCCCTTTTGTTCTATTCTGCCTCCCTATTTTCTTTTAGATATAGATGTTAAGCAGGTTGTTTGGCCCCTTTGTTTTTTTTTTTTTTCTGTCTTTTAGGTCTTTAGCTTGGTTGTAGTTTTTGTTAGTTTGGTTTTATTGTATAACTATGGTAGGGCCTGGGGTATGTCCCTTGGAATGTTGTATATTTTTCTGTTTTATTTTATGACTTATTCACCCAAAAAAATATATATTTTTTGGTATTTGATTAATGCTTATATATATATATATATATACACACATTTGTGAAGCTTGTTTGTAATGTTTTTCTTAAATTATACAGAACAAGTGAAATAAAACCTGCTGAATGTTTTTTTTTTTTAAATATACATATTCTACAACATGCAAAAAATACTATGAAACTTAGGCTATCTACGGCAGGCAAAATAGGTCATTGTATTAAATATTCAACGACTAGTAATGAACGTAGTGGTTTGTCTCTTGAATTAACAGCATGCAAAAGTAGTTGTAGAAAAGTCAAACACGACGCACAAGATCCGCTGTTAAAGAGTTTTTAACGGCATATTACAACATGTCGTTGAAGTGAATGACTTTTCATGACTAGCCATAACACGGCTTTACCTTGCACGTTGTAGAATCATTTTCACGACGTGCATTTGGTGCCATAAAAACCCTTTTTTCGTTGTAGTGTGTATACA